ACCTACTTGATGAAATCTCGGGCCCACCGAAAACCTTCGCTGTTGTTTCGGCGAAAGCATAATCTGAGTGAGGTCCATTTGCCTAACGATGCACAACATAAAACATGAGGAACGTTTATTTTTTTATTTTTTACTATAATCTATAAGAATACATTGTTATATCCGTCAAAATGTTGTTCTCTTTGTTATTATTATTTTAATTTTATTTTGTTATTCTATTTTTAATGGATGTGTCTACAAACTATGGAGTGAGTATAAAAAAGTGTCCATAAAAACATTTAAATAAGGTTGGCGCCACTATAACTACCGCACCGAAAATATTAGTGGGATAGACGACTTTTTCGAGGTTATATTTACTAAATAAAATTATTTTAGATTTTAGAGCTACTGCTAGCAGCACAATTAAACCGGCGACAACTGCTAAGTTCATTTCATCCCAGTAGCTACTCCAGCGCCGTTGTGGAGAGTTTTTGAACTGTTATTTACTGCTTACAGATGACCACTTTTTCGACTATTCTACTATGGGAGTTGGTACTCTTTACTTCTACACTCCATACTACAAACAATAAAATTTACGTGCCTAGTGATGTTTGTGGTGTGTTGAAATAAATGTTTAGTTTTTCAAATGGGAGGATGGATTTTCCAATGCGGTATGGCGTTACCGTGCGCTGCTAATATTACTATCAGGTGGCCGTTTGTCGCTGCAACGGTCGCCACAGACGGTCAGTTCAACTGATCATTCCAACTGATCAGTTCAAACTAAAATTGTTGATATTTTTTAAAATACTGAATTTTCGATATATCGATAAATATAAATATATCAATATCAGACTTTTATATATAATCCAATATTAGAAATATAAATAATAGAAAATCCAATATTAAAAAAAATATCAACAGTTTTAGTTTGGACTCATCAGTTGCAATGATCAGTTGAACTGACCGTGTGTGGCGACCATAATATCCACACCTCAGCCACAGTTTCGAAGATTTTTAAAATCGCTACGCTTAAAAAAGTTTTAAGAGGATAAGTACTTACCTTGAAATTGAAATGAATCATAGCTTGGGGGCGTGGTTTATCTCTTTGTCGGTGAATCTTACGGACTGAGGAGTAGGGACTTATAGTACGCACAGATAGCTATACCGAGCTCGCGCTCGGAAAAAAACTAAGTAAGCGCCAAACAATATTTTTATTTTTTTAACATAACTTTGTAATAGATTAAAAAATGGTTTATGAGAACTTAGATATGATTATTTACTATGCCTTAAAAATAATTCCATGAACTTATTTGTAAAAATATAGTGTCATTTGATTCCCATATACTTAACTAAACGTGTGTGCCAAATTTTAGTCCAATAGCAGCTGTGAAAGTTGATGAAATATTGATTGCAAAATTCCAGGACATACATACAAGTGAAGTTAAATAAAAACTTAAAAAAAACACACTCGAATTGAGAACCTCCTCCTTTTAGAAGTTGGTTAAAATGATATAAATGAGGGTGACATGCACAAAAATGTAACTAATTAAAGCCTACTTGCATTTTTTTTCTATCGAGAATATGACACGTTATCGTGGTTTCCTTTTATGAAATCCAAGGTCATATACTTAGTCAAAAACCATATACCAAAAATTTGCTTCGTAATCTATAAAACTTAAAAAATGTATGAAATAGAAAAACCACTACATTTTCGTGGTATCATCTTAACATTTATATTTTGCTTCCATGCTACTAAGAAGGCTGTTTGTCGAAACGCGATACATAATATAACGACATGGAGCGATAGATTCTACTGTGGATAGTAAAATAAATAATTAGAAATTACACTACCTATATTTTATACATACAAGGGGGACAAACGTTAACACATTTACTTCATAGTAAATAGACGCTGTGGCTCATAAACACCTACATTATCCTCGATTAAACGTTTATGCGTTGTCACCCTGATAGAATGCTCATCAGTATAAAGACGGATATAGTTTTACTCGAGTAACATGTGAAGCCATTGTTCCTATTTTATGCTGGAATTCTGCACGAGCATGGTCGACGTGGTATGTAATTAATAATAAAACATCAAACTAACATTCATTGTTGTTTAGTAGAATATCATAACTCTTTGTAAAATACTAACATATTTACATCGAAGTAGCTGTAATGCTTTTATTTCTCTCATAACATTAATGGGTATGCCATCTTCAAGATTCTTTATGAGAATTTTCTTCAAGGCTACTTCCCGTGATGTAGGGAGATGACGTGCTTTAAACACTAGACCGTGAGCACCCTCTCCTATACGACCTTCAACCGAGTAACTTGTTATGTCACTATCCATAACAAAACTTAATTTAGGTACAAAAGTCTCACAAAATATATCATAAATACACTGAATTCTCAACACCACTCAACACAAAATGTGTCTAATGACAATACAAATGTAATGTTTGGTTTTTGGTTAAGTTGCTATGGAAACGCGCGTAGAAACTAAACACTAGATCAATCATAGATAAGCTAGTATAATCGGGAGAGATCAATGATGGGGAGCCTATGACCCTTGAACCCCTGATCCCACGAGTCAGACACTGACCCACGCCTTTTATATTTATAATCTTATTTTTTATATCTAGAGATAACGGACTATCAAAAATATAAAAAAGGAAGTTTAAGTGATATCATGACATTACCTAGCGGATTTTATTTATCTCTAACTTTTGTATAAATACTCAAATGTTCCTGTAACTATATTAATTAATATTTCTGTTATTTTCTTTACACCCTGTTCATTTATATACTGAGTGCAAGGGAGACTGCCTATTGTTTTTTTTTATAGGATAGGGTGACAAACGAGCACACAGTCCACCTGATGGTAAGTGGTTGCTGTGGCCCATAGACATCTACATCTATCCTCAATTAGGAATCAAAATGCAGATGCGTTGTCACCCGTGAGGACTAAGATGGAATGCCTCGTTTCCAGTAAAAAGGGTCTCCGGTTCTCTACACTCACCATACGAAACACAGCAGCATTAAGCTACTATTTCACGCTGGTATTCTATGAGAGCGTGGTCCTTCCCCGGTCGAGCCGACCCATTCGTGCTACAACTATACATCTAATATAACTGCAGCATGGCTCTACCACATATGTATTGTGCATGATGTCACCCTCATTTATATCATTTTTAACCGACCTCAAAAAGGAGAAGGTTCTCAATTCGAGTGTATGTTTTTTAAAGTTTTTATTTAACTTCACTTGTATGTATGCCCTGGAATTTTGCAATCAATATTTCACCAACTTTCACTGAAGCTACCAGGCTAAGAGGCACACACGTTTGGTCCTTAGAAATGCACGATTACTGAAATGCCGCCATTTATAATCCAATATGGCGGACGTTACAAAGTAGCGATTTATCATTTCCACAGCAACCCCTAAGATATGGGTATCAAATGAATGGAAAAATGAGCGAAACACAATAAGTAAAGTGACATCATTATAAATCCATTATGGTAGACGTCTAATATGACGATGTGATATTATTATGACGTAAAATTTATCTGATGATGGAGCTGGAATGTTGCCATGGCTAAAATGGCGGAAAACAAAATGGCCACCATACCAATTTTAAAGAGTTATATAACTCGGCAAAGGTTATATATAGTTTGGTAATGAACAAATCTAGGACAAGGGTCAACTGCTGGCAATAAAAAAATCAAGATGGCGGATCTAAGTTGGCGATCAAAAACTTAGTTGCTCCAATCTGCCTTTAATTTTGTTATCCCAAAGTTTTTGGAGACCTAATAGGTTACACTTCAAGGGTGGTCCCATATAAATTTGGAGATAAAATTCCACCCCTAAGAGCTGCAAATAAATAACTTCTTTTTTAGCAATTTGAAGTCGTTTTTTACTTTTTGTTCAAAGTTATAACTATTGACGTCGACCTTTATTTGTTCCTCTCCACTTGTTTCTTTTTTTTGTGATCTTGGGAAATTAACATGTCAGTGAGGTAAACTAAAAATCCTACGAACGAGCATGAAGTACATTACGCTCTGTTAGCGTGGAAAGTAAAAGTTTCAAATATGAGAAAAAGATTTTAAAGTCAGAGGTAAAAAATTTGCAGCAAAAAGACATAGATAGATTTATATGTGCTCGCAGACTACTTAGCATCATGCAAATATTTTTAATTTATAATTTAAGTTACCTCACAAAAGAAGGCTACAGATGCGGTATCGTTACCGAGGGATAGAATGGAATACTACATCCATTTCCATTCATCCATTCCAGCCTACAATAGTCCACTGTTGAATATGCCTCCCACATAATTTGCCTCATAGAGAGGAATTTTGTCACAGTTGCCACTAGCCCACGCTACTGTGGGTTGCCAACCGTAGTATTTTCATTGAACACTACATCACAGCCATAGATTTATCTACACTTCAGTTGGATTAGATGGACTCTTTCTACCAGTCAACCGTACAAAAGTTCGTGCGGCTTGGCAACCGCAGTTTTTTTTATTCAGCTGTTATCAGGAAGATGCTGCTGCCATCTTCTGTTTCAGTTCCCTCTGGCGCCTCTTACGACACCCACGGGATGATATGGGGTAAGGAGTGGGTATTCTTACGCCACCAATACACGGTTAAGTGTCAGATAGATCCTATTATTTCTCATTTTATGCTGCTTCTTATTCGTGTTTAACCTTGTTTCTATTCTCCGTAACGTTAATAATATTAATATGATATTTGAACAGCTGCGTATACATTACGTTCTTGTCGAATTTCAGCCAGCTTTTCAATGATCATTTTTAGAAGTGCCGCCACGTTGAGTGTAACTATCCAAAAATTTTATCAACATGTGGTCGAGAACGGTGTTTGTGGTGCTTTTTTTCTATCTGTATCAAACTGCAAAATGTGCAACCATACTAGCACTATTTTCATCTTTATCCATTACGGATCATTTTGTGTACAGGGGTTACATTTCGCTACTAGCTCAGAAAGGTCATTCCATTGTGGCAATGACTCCTTATCCTGGTTATTTTCAGTACTCGGAAGTCGAGAACGTAGTGGAAATAAACGTTGGTGAAGAGTCCGCACCTCTCTGGGATGAGTACAAAATGTTAATGACAAATGTTGACGATTATTATCCTCGTTTAAAAGCTTTAAACGAACATTCAATAAAACTAGCTATAGCGCAACTACAGTCCAAACAAATGGCAGCTTTATTTATAAACCCCGATGTGAAGTTTGATTTGTTAATAACAGAAGCTGATATGCCAATACTATATGCAGTTGCAGATAAATATAATGTGCCGCATATATCAATTACTACTTCCAGTGGGAAAATACATCAGTACGAAGCTAAAGGCAATCCAACACATCCCATTCTGTATCCAGATGTTAACACAATTAATTACAGAAACGCGAGCACATGGCAGAAAATTGTTGAACTAAATCGCTTTTATCACTCTAAATATGAGTATTACAACTACTTCCTACCTTTATGTGAGGTGGCCGCTAAGAAAATCCTTGGATTGAAAAGAAGCCTTCTAGAAGTGGAATACGATATAGATTTGCTTTTCATCGCCAGCAACCCCGTCTTGATAGGAAACAGACCGTCGGTTCCGGCTACTATTTATACAGATCGTTTGCATATTGTTCCTGGGCTGCCGTTGCCCGCGGTAAGAGATGTTGTATTATTATAATAATTTAATATTACTCAACGCTTGTGTTTTTAACACTATTTTAAATGTGAAAAAATTAAGGCATTAATTTTTAATAAACATTTTTATGTTTACTTCTAAATTAATTTCAACTTTTTAGGAATTAAAGTCGCTTATGGACTCGGCAACAAAGGGTGTAATATACTTCAGTTTAGGAGCACTCCAACAGTCGCAACAACTAGCACCTGAAGTATTAAATGTCCTAGTGGATGCCTTTAAGGAAGTTCCGTTCATGGTGCTATGGAAGATTAGTAACGCGACCGTGATAAATAAGCCTGACAACGTAATCACACAAGCTTGGTTCCCTCAACAGGAAGTATTGGGTAGGAGTTGTGAATATACTGGCTATTTGTTGACCTACGTGATAGAGCACTTAGGTGGTAGCGTCACGCCGCAGCTATATAATGGGTGTAGTGTTAGTTTTAAAATAGTTTTTTACCGCCTTAATGGTCTACGTAACGAGTCGTGGTAGCTCAGATGGTTAACGCTCGCTGTAAATATAACAGAACGCGAGTAACCCGGGTTCGATCCCCGCCGGCACCAATGAAATTGTTAATTTCAATTTTAAGTGCTGATTTACCACGTGCTCGGCGGTGAAGGAAAACATCGTGAGGAAACCTGCATGTCTGAGGAATAAGAAAAAAATATTTCAAAGACATGTGAAGTTCGCCAACACGCATTGGGGCAGCGCAGCGGACACTTCCTTGCCCTAAAACCTTCTCAGAAATGAGGGGAGGCCTGTGCCCAGCAGTGGGACGTATATAGGCTGTAACTTTACTTTACTTTACTTTAATGGTCTACGATATAGGATAATCTCTAACGGCTACATTAATATTTTAAAATGAGGTTATTATTTTAGCGCTATGTTTAATATCTATCATAGAAAACAACTCCACCTGGTCGTGGAACTATTTTCTGTCTAGATAGATTCATACGTGGTAGAGCCATGCTGCACTCTATATTATGGTTGTAGCACGAATGGGTCGGCTCGACCGGGGAAGGACCACACTCTCACAGATTATCAGCGTAAAATAGCGGCTTAATACTGCGGTGTCTCGTATGGTGAGTTTAGAGAACCGGAGAACCATTTCATTGGAAACGAGAAATTCCATCGTAGTCCTTGGAGGTGACAACACATCTGCATTTTTATTTTTAATCGAAAATATGTGTTTATGGGCCACCGCATCCACTTCCATAAGGTGGACTATATTCTCGTTTGTCAACCCCATTAGATTTAAAAAAAAACGCAAGCACAACAGACTGATTTGAAAATACTACGTTTTAACTACAAAATTCGACATTTTTAAACGTCATTGTAAATATGGTATCTTTTATAAGATGCAGTCCGGTAATTTGTCTGTTATACTGAGATCCTATTGGCATACTCATTTTTGTTTTTATTGGATTAACTATGATAAACCTATTTACTAAAGTCTATTTCAATCGGCTTATTCTATTTTACATTTTCATGGTGTTAAGGGCGCATTTTGAAAATTGTTATATCATATATAACCGTGCATTCATCACAGTTTATCATAAGTCCACATATCTGAACATAGGTATGCTCCGTAGCGCAGTAGCTTAGGAATTAGTTACAGCGCTAAGGGCCGCGGGTTCGAATGCCGCACGGAACAAGTATTTGTACGACCTACAAGTAATTGTTCCGGGTCTGGATGTTTGTCCTTATGAAATTTATGTTTGTAAACTGTCCCCACGATACAGTAAAAATCCTAGGTAACATTTTATTGAAAGAAAGAGGGATAGTTGCCACGTTTGACAGACGGGATGGCAGCCACAGTTTTTTGTAATTTGATATCATCACATTTTATTCCACAAGAAGACAAACTTGTCTAGCGGTAAGAGCAGCTAGCTTCTAATTTGATGTTAGGTTCGTAGATCAATCCCCAGTTGGAGCCAAAATTGCACCAAAAGCACATTTGCCTGTTTTCTCTAGTCTGTTTATTGTATTTTTCGAGCCTACCTACAATCTTATTGTTATTGCATTGGCCTTACACCAGATGTGATGGGTTAGGTCGGGAGAGCAGTTATATGTTTAGTGCTATAGATTGCTATAGATTACACTTGTCATTATAGCTGAGTTGGCGAAAAATTAGCGGCTTCAACGTCGTCAAAATCGCAATTCTTGTCAGCTGTATGCTTAGCAGGCTATAATATAACAAATTATTATTATTATTACCGACTGCCTCGTTGTTCTAGTGGTTGTAGTAGTGCGACTGCTGATCATGAGGTCCTGGGTTCGAATCCCGGGTCGAGCCAAAAATTAATTATTGAGTTTTCCGTCAAGAAATTCTCAGTAGCTGCCCGGAGTCAGGAAGTTGGCGGCGTAACGCCATTGGTCCTGCCCCTATCTCTCTCCCATCGGGTTATGAGAGTGAGGGAATAGAGAGTGCATCTCTTACGCATACACTTGGGCACTATAATCCTGTCCTGCGCCGATGACTAGTTTCCGTTGAGGCAGGCCGCCGAGACCGAAATTCGGTCTGGAGGACATTAATATTATAACGAATTATTAACATCATATTATTTTTAGCACACCCCAATGTGAAAGCATTTATTACTCACGGTGGTGCACGATCTTTAGAAGAAGCATTGTATTATGAAGTTCCTATCATAGGATTTCCGTTATTGAAGTCTAACAAAGTATTCATAAACGAAATGACAAGACATGGCGTCGGCGAAATTGTGGATCCTTATTACTTGGAAAAAGATGCGCTCAAGGCTACAATTACCGCTGTGGCTGGCGACGAAAAGTAAGATGCAGTACATTATTCTGAAATTACTTATAACATAAACGCATTTTTATAGTTTTATATTCCCATAGTTACATTTAAATTTCGTAAAATATTGCATAGTTGTAATAACAGCGATAAAAATAAAATAAAGTCATTATAGATGTAGGTCAATATTAATCTGAGAATGTTAACAATATAAAAGATGTATTTGTTTTTTTAAATATATTATAACATATTTTATCACTTAATAACTCAGACATAATATAAATTTACAATCACTTTTGTTTATGAATTTCTTCTTTTAACTGGCAATTTCATAGGCTAGACATAATAGAAATGTTTAATCTGGAGTCCTAAGCTTCTTATATAAAAGATATGATGTGAAGAATTGAGTAGTAATGTACCAATTAATGTGTCGTAGTTAAAATTATAAGAAAGCCAGCGAACAGTTCTTAAAGGATTACGCTGTGATTTCGAACGCGTGGAATTTATTTACGATTGGATTTCACGAGTTTTAATTTTTTAGCGCAGAACCCTAATCCCTTTTTTTTTCTAAAATAAAAGTAGCCAAGTTACCCCTTATAACATCAGCTATCTGCCAATGAAAGTCCCGTTAAAATCGGTTATACCGTTTAGGAGATTAGCCTGAACAAAACAGACAGACAGGCAAACAAAAATTGTAAATTTTTTTTCTGTAATATGTTCCGTATACACTTTCATATGGATTTAGTAAAAAGCTTTATTTATATATATTTGATATTACAAACAGACACTTCAATTTTATTTAGTTGCATAGATAAACAACATTTAAAGTAGGCATATATAATTTTGGGATTTACAATTAATTAATGCACACCCTCAGACAAATCAATTAGTATATTACGTTATAATCATAATACATACATTGAATATTATTTAAACATTTTTGTGCACTGATTATTTATCAAATTAGTTATACTAATTCCGGAAGAATGTTGTGGTCACAGTACAAATCCACGAACGCAAAGACTAACGTGCTTGAAATAAAGTTCAATTTTCTTTATTTTTATTGAATGACAGAATTAGTAATAATACAAATAAAACTGCACTCTTAAAAGTCTTATTGCCTTAAGTTACGGTCCATTTCGGTTTGTTTTGTCTGTACAGATTTAGTGTGACTGTAATTTACTTAGATTTAATTATTTTTGGGATAAAAAATTACCTATATTAAAAATGATAGGAATCGATTCAGTAAACGATTCTGAACAAACTACTTTCTCAAAGTGCGTTAATTATGTTACGTGTTGTATAATTTAGGATTTACAATTAATTAATAATTTAAAAAAATCAAGTCATATTGCGTTTTATTATTTACAGATACAAACGAGCCATGTCCAGACTCAGAAGCATTGCCTATGATCCAATTTTATCAGGTCCTGAGAACGCTGTCTGGTGGACGGAATATGTGATACAGAACGGAGGTGCTCGCCATTTTCGTTCTCCTGTAGTCGGCAGTTCCTTCTTTAAATATTTATTGTTGGATATTGTTACAATTTTGCTAATTATCACTTTTATTGGAATTTTTATCGTATACATAACTCTTCGCTATATTGCAAGACGTATGCGCTCGAGATTCTTTCAGAAGCCGGAAGAGAAAGGAAAATTTAAAGCAGTGTGACTATTACTTATTAAATTGAAATAATAATTTAAAATAAATTTGTTAGAAATAAATTATGCCAAATATATAAAATTTCTTATTTAAATAAATTTTATAATAGTATTTTGTTGGTTAGCTATAAACTATTGGTATAACCTTCGCGCAAAACATTTGTATGGTTTTGTGAACTTAACACACACATAAGTATTCCATTATAATCATTTTTTATTAAACAATTTTATCTAGGTCAGAATCTAGGTATGTTTGCTTAATTTAAAATTTCCAGCCAAGACTTGTGACATATTCATTCAAAGTGCCTACATTATATTCTTAAAAAGTTACTTAACTCTTTCTTCTTCTTTCGTTTATGTATTGATTTGGTGTACAATAAAGAATTATCTATCTATCTATCTATCTATCTATCTAACTCGGCAGTAACGCGATGTATGTGAAGTACTGTGTAAGTATATCAACTACCCTATATCATCCCGTAGGTATCATAAGAGGCGAAGTAGGGAAAATAAACCAGAAGGTTGGCAACAACGTCTTCTTAACGACGACTAAAAATAAAAATACAGCTGCCAACCCGCCTGCCAAGCGTAGAAACTTTGAGACGATATAGGCTGTAACGATAGCATTTTTTTTAAAAACGTAATCCATACTAAGATTTTCTCCTGTATCGTAGGGACAGTTTACATACATACATTTTACAAGGACCGGGAAAAATTATTTGTAGGCCATACAAATACTTGTTCCGTGCGGGATTCGATCCCGCGACCCCTAACGCTTTAACTTATTGCGAAGCCACTACGCCACGGATCCGTCAAATTATGTTTGCAATGGTTAAATGCAATATTTTTTAAATTTTAATCAAATAAATAAAAACGATGGAGATAACGAACATTTTGAAGCACTTTATTTTTTCTTTATAATATTTAAGTACATTGGTAATGAAAGTTTAATCAAAATAGTTTAGCTGCTTAAGAAAAAATGAAGCAATAGATTTACATAATAAATAAATTAAAAACAAAATAATAAGGGTAAATATGAATATTAATATCTTCCTTTCGTGATCGAGAATATACCCATCAATAACATAACGAATAGGCTGTATGAGGTTGCCAATTTCCGAAATATTCCGACGGGAAACTACGATTAGCACCAGTGGAATTGCCTCGTTTGCTTTAAGGGTGATATACATAGCAAGAAAATAACTAAGGAATTATTTCTAAACTAATTTATAAGTATTGTTATTGATAGATTTTTGTTTTAGGAGTAATTTATGGCAGAAACAGTTCGTCATTTTAAAAAATTCACACAATTAAATAATTTTGGTCAAATAAAAAAACATATTCAGACGGTGTAATTCATTTTGATTTACATTTGATTTTTTTGATTCGTACAAAATAACAAAGAAATACTTTGTTATTATATACGTGATAGTGTCAAGCTATATTAATATAGTTGTAGCACGAACGGGTCCACCAGACCGAGAAAGGACCACGCTTTCAGAGAATAACTAAATGAAATAGCAGCTATTTCATAAGGTGAGTGTAATCAACCGAAGACCCTTTTAACTGGAAACGAGGCATTCCATCCTAGTCCTTAGGGGTGACAACACACTTTTCATTTTGATTCTTAACTGAAGATATATTAAGATGTCTATGGGTCACAATATCCGCTAAACATCATGATGCAGGGAAACCAAATTCATAAATCAAATATTTTGATGCCAACAATTTATATGGTTGGGCTATGTCTCAATGTCTTCCTACTGGTGGATTCGAATGGGTAAATCTGAATACAGAATTTAATGTGTCTGAGTCATCGGACTTCGGTTTTATTTTAGAAGTTGATTTGGAATATCCAGATGAACTTCATGATTTACATTCGGACTTTCCTTTATGTCCAGAAAACATTTGTGTAGGCAATATTAATGAGAATAAACTAGTCCTAAATTTAAATAATAAAGATAAATATGTAATTCGCTACAGAAATTTAAAGCAGTGTATAGAAATGGGGGTTAAATTAACTAAAATTCATAAGTTTTAAAATTTAAACAGTCTTCCTGGTTGAAGATGTACATAGATCTAAACACAAAATTAAGAACGTTAGCAAAATCAGATTTCGAAAAAGATTTTTATAAATTAATGAATAATTCAGTCTTCGAGAGACGAAAGACTATGGAGAATATTGAAAAAAAGGGTTAACATAAAATTAGTCAAACACTGGCAGAACCAGGGTTAGCTTTAGGTGCTCAAGATCTAATCGCTAAACCACAGTTTCATAGTCTTCCAATATTTTCGGAAAACCTAGTTGCGGTTCAGTTGCGAAAAACGAAGTTAATATATAACAAGCCGATTTATTTAGGGTTTTGCATTTTAGATATTTCAAAAACATTAATGTATGATTTTCATCATAACTATATGATTAAAAAGTTTAGTAAAATCAAGTTATTGTATAGAGATACGAATAGTTTAATATATCATATATTTACAGATGATTTTTACCTTGATTTAAACCTGACCTTTCATCATACTTTGATCCTCAGATTATGATACAAATAATATTTTTGAATATCCAAAATTAAATAAAAAGAAATTAGGTTTTTATAAAGATGAAAATAATGGTAAAATCATGAAAGAATTTGTGGGTTTACGATCCAAAATGCTTTTAACTTAGAGAATAAGACTATAGCCAAGGCAAAAGAGGTAAATAAATGTATCACTAAAAAGATGACAATGAATAGTTACAAGTCTTCTCTATTTAGTTAAAAAGTGCAATATTATAGTATGCTTAGATTTAAATCAATTAAACACACAATTTTCACACAAAATTTAAATAAGATTGGTTTTACATATAATGACACAAAGAGGCATATTTTAGATAATAATATTGAAACATTAGCTTGGGGTCATTATAAACTGTGCTAAGTGTTGATAGTTTTAACTTTTATGTCTGCGTGTAAATAAAATTTGTATTGATTGTAAAATTATGATAACTACTATAATATGACGTAGAGTTTATTACATATTTAATTATTGTTTTATTGTAAATAATAGTTAATTGTTGTTTATATTTGCGTGTGTGTGTATGTATTTGAGGTTGAGTTGATTGTAAAATTAAGATGTGCTAATTGTGTTAGAAATAGTATACAGATCATTCTGTTTTATATAATTTTTGCAATATATATATATATATATATATTAATTGTTTACACCAACACTTTCATTTTTTATTTCACCCTTTTGAACTTTAGACGTGTGTAATGTTTCACTTTATACATTCGTTTACTGCTATTGTGGCAGGACCAAGTGGATGTAGGAAGTCAAATTTTGTAACAAATTTCATAAAAATCAGTTACAGAAATATGTAATTGTGATTTTAATCAGATCACACGGTGCTTTGATGAAATGCAACCTTTATATAATTTACCAAATGTTAACTACCATCAAGGAATTCCAAATCTTAATATGTTTGATGGTGAAAACCCACATCTTGTTATTATTGATGATCTAATGAGAGAGTCCGATGGAAGAATTGTGGATATATTTACAAAAGGTAGTCATCACAGGAATTTTGGTGTATTTTATTTAACACAAAATTTATTTCATCAGGGTAAAGGGCAAAGAGACATATATTTAAACTCAAGTTATATAATATATTTTAAAAACCCTCGAGATAAAACTCAAATAAGATATTTAGCACTACAAGTGTCACCAGATAACCCAAAATTCATTGAAGATGCCTACAGGGGTGCAATTCTAGAGGCGCATGGATATTTAATGGTAGATTTAAAAGAGAATACCAATGATTTTTGTCGTATCAAGACAAATGTCTTCCCATGTAATGGTTTCTGTACAGTCTACGTCCCCTCAAAAGAGTTTAAATACACCAAGAATCAAACAATTCAAATCATTGCTAAATGATGCATCGTCGACTCACAACGCATAAACATTTGCGCTTAAGCGTATACAAAGCGTTTAGCAAAAAAAAAAGTAATGCTCTTTGATAATTTGGTTTAAACCAAAATATCAAAGAGCATTACTTAAAACGTGTGATTAAGAAGAAATTAACTGTATTTGTGAGTGTATTCATAACGTTTTACAAGGAAAAGTACCTCTTAAAGATCAAGATAAACAAAAATTGAATAAACACAAAAATTTACTCCGTAAACTAGTGCGTAAGTGTAAACATAAACTAAGAAAAAATATAATTATACAAAAAGGAGGGGCTTTCTTGCCAATAATATTAGGTGCAATATTGAGTGGATTAGTGAGTAAAAATTATACTTATCGAAATTGATTGAAAAATTAAAGCAAGAAAATAAGGTTAATAGTAATTTATCTCGATTAGATATTGAAATGCGAAATATTATGAACAGTAAGACGGAAGACCGAAAGAAATGGATGTTATCTTTACAAACACTCCAAAGATACCTTCATTTTACCGAAGAGGATCGTCAACCACTCAGATTACCAATTTATTCTGATACATCTAATGAAGATCCAAATGAGTCTAAAATTAGTTTTAAAAATAAAGATAGAGATCTAAAAACTTCAGTTGATGCTGAATCTTTGTTGGAGGAGAATCGATCCATTAAAAATAAAGAAAATCCACTTTACACACCAGCTCAAATACTCAGTTTAATACCAAAAACTTATAATAAAAAAGGACAGTTATTATTAAACTTGGTTGAAATAAGTAAAAGTAAAATACATTGGGATAATGAAGGTACAGTCATAATTGAAATTGATGAAAAAGATCCTGGAAGTAATATTGTTGATTTAATAAATGATTCACTAAGACCCTTAAAAAGAAGTGATCCAGTAGGGTGGAATACATTTGCTGAAGCATTAAAAGATATTAAAGTACCACTTACTTATATTGGAAATCCAAAGAGATGTGAGTTTATTAACCAACTTCAAGCAAAAAATCTAAACAAACCCTCTGAGATTGAAATTCAAGAGTTTTCTAAGTAGAGATAAAAAGTCTACGAATAAATTACGTAAAAGGCTTGA